CGGGTCGGCGATACAGCGAGAACAAGCGAAACTCATCCTGAGCACACACACAAACACTCACAGCTGAAGTAAAAACAATAAGTGTGGCTTGATATTGAGTAAGAAAAAGGTTTATAAACGCTGTGAGCATGGGTCTACGGAGAGCATTTCTCCGTGATCCCAACGTAGTCCGAAAAACGTTTACCCATTTAAACAGCCGTGGTGGATACCTTGTTTGTTTTAAACATCATAAATACACAAACAACAATGAATAGATACAGGTTGTGTACCCGAAGTCCCGCTGGTCCAAACAAAGTAGGAACAGCATCGTTCTTCAGTGCCCTACGCTGTACATACTGTATCTGGCATGAATCGCTGAAAGGTTTGGGAAGCTTTGTTTCGTGAAAGGCTGGCAGAGGGTGTGGCCTCTGGGTATCCCCACGTCAGAGTACCCAGGAAGTAAACAATGGAAAATGAGAAATCTCCAACGAGGCGTTTTGGGGCAGCATAGACTGTGTTAGAGTTTTACTCGCTACAGGGTGTACTTTGAGGGTTTGTGACTCTGCAGACCGTTTACATGCATAAAACCTTCATAACACACAAGGGGACGGGTAACAACCAGAAAAGCATGACATGGGACCTTTAAGGACGACCTACATTACAATAACATTTAGCCACTAATTTGCCATAAGGAAAGGTGCCTCTCAGATGTTTTACCATAGGTTAGCTAGCTCATGTGATTGCTGGAGGATTCATGGGTAACGGTACCGTCTTTAGACTATCAACAATTTGACCTCTGCTTATATGTTTGATGCATGCTTCTGTTTATGTGTATTTTCACACATATTCAAATTTGAGTTAAACAAACTTATACCATTATCAAACAATGATTTTGTGGTCCTCCTGCAGTGACTCTGAACACACCCTAAAAGACCCCTGTGGGTGAGGCTTGAATAGTAATTGGTATCCCCAGGATTGCTAGAGTTGAGGGAAGACTGATCACAGAGTGTTTGTTCTGGAAATTGAAAATGTTCTACCCAAGTGAAAGAACCCTGCTCACACAAGATGGTCAATGAATCTGAACATTTAAAAGACCAAGACCGGCTGTGATGTTCCTGGAATGACGTTCAGTAATGTTGCAGCATGTTATGTCTTAATGTGTTCAATCCTGCAGTTTACCCTCCGTATCCTCCTCAAGCTACACACAGTCACTGCTACAGTTCTTTGCCTGTAATCATTTCCTTTCCTCACTAGATGTGGAAGTGCAGAGAATGAAAAAGGCAGTCGAGTCATTGATGGCAGCGAATGAAGAGAAGGTATCCAATCAAGTTGTTTTTTATCTCTCTTTCTAAAACACCCGCCTCACTGACGTATGAAAAAAAACTATGGAAAACTATTTGTTTCAAATCAAATGTCATCATTCTTTGTCTTCTGAAATATAAAATTCAGTATTTAAAAAATAAATAAATAATAGAAACAGAGAGGTTTTCGTGGCATTTAGAGCAGTCAGCCAGAGGAGCTACAATGTTTATTACCACTCTTTGCCAAACCAAGAAGCCTGCTTTTTTTTTTCTTTTTTTTTTCAATTTTTTCAAAAGCAAGGCAATAAGTTCGGCATGTGACCAAACACACACTCCTACACAGAGCTGTCTGTACGCCTTTACGTCAAAGCCTGCTAAACGGCTCTGCCCCAAGTACAAGATGTTGGACAGTAGAACATCGTCCACTTTCAGCGTAGGAGTGTGGAGTGAATGTTCACACTGGGTAAAGGCAAGTTTACAGAGAGCTGGCGTGATGACCCCGAAATAAAACCTGCTAAGCTAAGGGTTACCAATGGGGAAAAGAAAGTTAGATGCAAACGTTGTGTTGTATTATTCTTTAAATGGAAAATACATAGGAAGCCTGCGCTGAGTTGAACCGTTTGATTGTCTCTCCTCTTTGCAGGATCGTAAGATTGATGAACTAAAGCAGTCGCTGCTGCGGTATAAGAAAGTTCAAGAAATGGTGATGTCAGTGCAAGGGAAGAAAGGTGAGATGACTCTTCTGTTGGAGTAAATGAAACATTATCTAATGTCTGAGATAAATGTTGCCCTGAACCTGCTTTTTGCTCATACACTCAATCATACAACTCTCTTCGAATCTCATGTTATGTCAATTGAATTTGAGGTCTTTAAAGATCTCCAAACAATAGATGAAGTTTGTCTACTCAGAAAAACGTTTTGTCTTAAGTGGTTTGTTTATTGCTAGATGAAACAGCTGATTTATAAATATTCATCTCATTTATCGTCCTCTGCAGAGAAAGGCAAAGATAACGAGTATTTCGAGGGTGATGGCGATGGATTCAACGAGTTCTTCCTAAGCATCCCGATGTCTGCTGAGTCGGAGAAGTATGATGTATTGGATGTTGAACTGAAGAGGAGGAGCCCAGATGAGGTTTGTGTTGCATAATGTGAGCATGAAACGCGTTCAATAGAAATATTATTGCAAAGGAGTTGCATTAAAACATAATATCACAAGCAATGTTGGATTCAAAAATGTAGACTAAGACATTTAAGAAACCTAAAATCACTGTAGTTTGTTTTATCCATTTAATGTATTCCTAATGAGTCTTGCTGTAGTCTTTTTTATATAGCTATAGCTCACGCACATTTCACACTTGTGTAATGAGTGTTGAAGGGTCTGACATCCAATTAATTGAATAACCTCTCCTGTCAGTTCTCTAAGCCTGTGTGCAGATTTAGACTGCCGCGGGAGAATATGCAACTTAATATTTTCCGACGGTGCAAACTTGGATATTTAAAAAAATGTATTTCCTTGCTCTGATGTGTGCTTAGTTGGAGATGCTTAATGGTCAGACTGAAGAGCCTTCACCCTCTCCCAGCCCTTCAGATCCAGAACGAGTGTCAGAGTCGGCACCAACAGATGCTGAAAGGTGAAATATGAAGAAGACTGTATCTCCGTTCAAATGCAGTGATTTACTCCAAGTCCATTTCAACATGGAGTTTGGCTTGTTTAGGTTTGTGTATAGTAGATAAAGTAGATCTTGTTAAGTTATCAGCAGCTGATCATTTGTGGCACTCCAGTCTTTAAATGTCAACATTTTTAAGGGATATCGAAAATAAAAAAAAGATCCTTGGCATTTCAGGGTTTCAATTATGTCTCGGGTTTTAAAGTTTAGTCAGGGACACCAAGTGGCTCATAATCATTTGGTTTGGGGAAATTAACCAGGAAACGTTGTGTTCTGCCACGTTTAATATTAAATGCACTAACAATGACTTCAACATGTCATGTCTCCTGGCTCTTTTATATTCTCCTGGCACCATCATCACCTTTTATCTCAAATACCTGAAAACATACAGCTGTTTGGAAAATCACAGATTTTCTTTTAGTTCAACATGAAACTTTATTTAATAGGATTCAACAGGTATTTAACTTTTCATGAACGTCTTTTACATACATCTGAGAAAAATTACTGGTGTGACGAAAATGCTTTATGTACTATGTAATGTTTGTATACCACTTTCACTTCAATATGTAAAGAATGCTGCTGAGTAGCCTTTCCTGAAGTCCTACTGGTATACACTGTAAGGATTTATTTCGGCCGCGTTCTTTAACTTGCAGAAGAAGAATGTGTGTAACAGCAGTTCACTTCCTGCTGCTGCTTCTCATGACCTCCACGCTGCTCAGGAGACAAGCTCACTATCTCCTCTCTGTCTGTTTCAGCTGCCAGGATCCCATCAAGAAGGGCAGCCAGGATCAGATGGAAAGGAGCAATAATGAAAAGGTAAACTTTACACATTTAGAACCGGGAAACCTGTTCGATTTAAAAGAGTCTTGTTCAGTCAACCTTACCAAAGACATCACGGCATACCATAACGTCTCAGAAAACGTCTCATTCTGCTACACCAAGATGTCTCTTTGTTGAAAATCAGTCCCTCTATTTGGCTCATACTGTTTGTATGCATGCATTAAACATGCTCCATAGACTTTATAGCCTTCGCAGTATCCCACATTTTCTGTGCTGTCTAGAGCATATCTTGACTGATAAGTTGATCAACAGAATATTCACTAACTATTTTTTAGAATCTATAAATTATTAAAGTTATATTTCAAGCAAAAATTGAATTTCATTTTTTCAGCCTCTAAAAGGTGGAGATTATCTAATTTGTTTTATATAACATTGAACTTAATGTCTTTGGGTTTTGGCCTGACAAAACAAGACCTTTTGACCACTGTATGGACCAAATAAATAATCGAAGTATTTAGAAACAAATGTTAATTTACAGCTTTGGTGCAGTGTCTACATCCTTAACTCTGTTTCTTTACAGTGAAAGTATCAATATTTTATTCTTCAAGCAAATATTAGTCTGCAAGATTAGCATAGTATGTGTGAAAAGTAGGGATGGGTGTCTTTTGAAATGTATCGATTCCGATTCCGGTTCTTATAGATTCCCCGTTTCGATTCCAAAATTGTAAAAGAAAGAGGTCAAAAGTTTAGATGACAAAAATATATTTAATCTTTTAAGCTTTAACTGACATTTTTACAAATAAAAAATATACATGCAATACAAATGTATTGCACAATAGCTGTGCTTTATTTTAACTGAGCTATGCCTGTGGCAAGCTATTAACAGGCATTACACTGTGCCTTGTCTTTGTCCCTTCAACGGCCTGCTGACGACCGGCCATTCTGTGATTCTCCAGAACACACAGATGGCCAGTCCGCCCTTACCCTGTATTCCACCGGGTCATCGGCGCAGACGGACCCGGTGGAATACAGGGTCTACCGCGTTTAGGAACCGTTAAGCAGAACCGAAATTGTGTATTTTGTATGGGTACCCGGTACCCGGCATTTTCTTATCGGTTCTCATCTGGAACCGAGTTTCGGTTCCCAACCCTAATGAAAAGTGATATAGGAGTATTGTTTTTGTCCTCTCAGAATGCTAATGAAGGGATCAGTAAGATGAGTGGGAAGCCTCCTGTGGGTTCCTCTGCGACCCTGCCGACCTCCACAGAGGACGAGAGCTTCGGCTCCAGAAAGGCTCGCTCATCCTTTGGAAAGGGCTTCTTCAAGATCCGCGGGGGCAAGAAGACAGGCAGTACTCCTAACCTCGGTGAGAGCAAACCACATGAGTTAGCAGCTGTGCAATGAATTGGCAGTTTACTAGATGATGAGTTAAATGGATGTGAACTATTTAACTCATCACCAACTATTTTAATAATTGTTTGAAGTGTTTCTTTAGAAATAAAAGTTAATGATTTGATGCTAATTTAATGCAAACATGTTCAGGTTTCTTTACCCCCTCTCTGACAGTAAACTGAATAATATCTTTGCAGTTGTGGTCAAAACAAGACCATTCAAAGACTTTATCTTGAGTTGTTATCAACATATTTTCTGATATTTCATAGACCAAACGAATAAAAAAACAAATCAATTTACAGATCAATGAAAATAGTTTTAGTTGCAGCCCGACTAGAAAGGGAGATTTTCTTGGAGGTTTTTTTTCACCATGGACGATTTTTGTGTTTTCCCAAGCCACACCCATGAAATATACTCTATGGACCAGGACCATAATTTGCAGCCCACACAAACTGTGGTCCCCGTTTTAATTATGGAAGTTGGTTTCTGCATTGGATTTCCTTCGGTCTGTGTTTGTGCTTTTATTGTGTGTCCTGTACACATGCATGTCTGCGTTCGCCCCACCTCTCCACTCCTGGTCTTATTTCATTCATAATGTCTGCCCTTTGTCTTGTTCTTTCTCTGTTGGACCCTGTGGGGTCTTGTGTGTGTTTTGTTACACATGAAGACCGCAGCCGAAGCGCAAGTGCCCCTATGCTAGGTACAGTATAGACCCCTGGTCATTGTAGGGTCTGAAGAAAACAAGGAAACTTCAAAATATCTCCTATTGTTGAACACCTTTGTCTTTTCTAACTTCATCCGTTCAGCTGACACCTTTTTATCATATCACGTTTCAGCGCTTCAACAGCCACACCCCTGTCCCAACCCATTGTTGCACAAATGTCCAGCATACAGACAGTCTGTTGTTCATTTGCCTGTGTGCTTGCATGGATTTGTTTCTGTCAAACCCTTCCCCAAACACAACTCTACTTCAAGATCCAGATAATCCAATCAAATGATTCATTTGGATCTTGAAAGCCTCCCGCTAAAAATCTAAAACTACTAGTGAGCCTCCTTTTTTATCTAATAAAACAAGGCTGTTTCTTCCAGTCTTACACAGGAATCAGCAGTGTCTAATGCATGCTTACTAGAGAGGGTATTTCTCCCCACTGCCATGACCCCTTCTGTCTGGGAGACATCATGTGTCTGAGTGTTTTCTGGGTCTCTTCCCTGACCCTGTGCAGCAGCTTCTTTTCCGCCGCTCTGAGCACGCCTCCCACCATAACGCTCATGATGCTGATTATTTTCTGTGGGCATTTGTTTGTACAGCTGAAACGGAGCGACCGGGCACCGACCATCTGGACCTGGCCGGGCTGCCACAGAGGTCGGCTAACAGCGGCAGCACCAACACACTCTCCGCGACCCCTGAGGGCAGGAAAAAAGCCAAAGGAATAAAGAAACTCTTTGGGAAGTAAGTAGAAAAGTGCATGATCCTTTCTAGCTCTAAAAAATAGTAAATTAGTTACTATTTATTTCTAGTACTTCTAATGCATTTAGAATAAAGGAAACGTTTGCACTTTCAGATTCAGCTAGAAATATTTATAATGTGCAAATATGGTTTATCACTATCAGCATATTCTATATCATCGAAAGGATGTTTTGATATACTGTATATTCAATACCATATTTTCTTTAAGGCTAAAAAGGAGTCAGTCTACCACATTTAACCTGGATGACAACCTACCAGAGGGAGACTTTAAGAGAGGCGGAGTGCGAGCCACAGCGGGACCCAGGCTGGGATGGTCTCGGGACCTCCAGAAACCCAAGTAAGTGTGTGCATTCGGTCTGAATAATGAGAATCTCTGGTGTACAACACAACTCGGAGATCATGTGAGGATTTTTCAGGAAGCAGTGTTTGTTGGGACTACAACTAACCTTCAGAACCAATCAGAATACTTCATTAATCCAGGGGAGAAATTGGGTTACATGGCAGTTGATTCATTATAGAATAGAATACAATATTTAAAAGAATAATATTTGAAAAACATTACATATATACTTCCAATGCAAATGTGTATGTGCACCTGTCACCATTATGACTTTTCTCTTTCTTCTCCTTAGTGAGGTTGATGCTCCCTTTGCGCGCTGGTCGAAGGATCAGGTGTGCAACTGGCTGCAGGATCAGGGGCTCGGTCTCTATGTGAACATGGCTCGAGTGTGGATCTCCTCTGGACAGACGCTGCTGCAGGCCTCACAGCACGACCTGGAGAGGGTGAGCTGCTGCAGAACAATTCAATAAGTCCAGCCAAGCAGGCAGGCAGACAAAGTATTTTTTGTTATTGAACCATCTGCATCATGTAGTACCTCGGGGATCTCAGTGTAATACTTGGCTTCATGTCGATTCTAGGAGCTGGGCATCAAACACCCGCTGCACAAAAAGAAGCTGCAGCTGGCTCTGCAGGCCCTCGGCTCAGAGGAGGAGAATAATAAAGGAAAGCTGGACTACAACTGGGTGACCAGTGAGTACTAGCTGCCAGTTCCCTGTTTTAAACACCCTTCTGCTTTGTTGCTTTTTCTTCTTCACCCGTTACTTTTAATTACATTTGACCGTCAACTTGACATTCTCCTTCTGACACTTTGCTCTTTCTCAGGATGGCTGGATGACATCGGTCTGCCTCAGTATAAGACCCAGTTTGACGAGGGGAGGGTGGACGGTCGCATGCTGCACTACATGACAGTGGTGAGTGTTAGAGAGACACACGCTGCCTCCACAGACGCCGCAGGGAAAGAGGTCTGACGACTCCAGTGCCATCTCACATTAGGATTATTGCATACAGACTCTGATGAGCTCCACTCAAGTGGACCTGGTCTTACCCTCCATATTTGAGACGGACCTGAAGTCACACCACAGTGACCTTATCTGTTCAATTTGAGGCTTCTTTGCCTGGGAATGCTTATTGTTGTTGCAGAAGTCTGTTGTGTTTTAATGCATTTCTTCAACCATCTTTACCATTTCACAATAAGTCATTGGTGTCTAACTTTGCTCCTCAGGATGACTTGCTTTCTCTGAAAGTGGGGAGTGTCCTGCATCACCTCAGCATCAAGAGAGCCATCCAGGTCCTCCGACTCAACAACTACGAGCCAAACTGCTTGCGGCGAAGGCCATCTGACGAGGTGGATACAATCACCTGAGAATTTAGCAACCTTTTCTGCTGTTTGAAATAACCCACACTCATTTTATAATGCACATCTACACGTGAACATTTCTTTTTTTCATCCTCTTTCTGTGCTTTGTCCCCACAGAACAATATTTCTCCTGCAGAGATTTCCCAGTGGACCAACCACAGGGTGATGGAGTGGCTGCGCTCTGCGGACCTGGCTGAATACGCTCCCAACCTGAGAGGCAGCGGAGTGCACGGAGGCCTGATGGTGAGACACTTTTTCTGGGAAACCTGAAAGTATTCAGACCTCCTCTAACACATGTGCTCACCCTCAGGTCCTGGAGCCGCGCTTTAACGTGGAGACCATGGCTCTGCTGCTGAACATCCCCCCCAACAAGACGCTGCTGCGCCGCCACCTCGCCACACACTTCAACCTGCTCATCGGCTCCGAGGCCCAGCAGCTCAAACAGGAGTGTCTTGAAAACCCAGACTACACTCTGCTGACTGCCACCACTAAGGTCAAGGTAAAGCAAGACTTCTGATGGACAGACATTGAATAGATGGATAGAAATATTACTGAAAGAACTTCTATTACTTGGTTTGTTACAAGGGTTACCATTAGTACGATAACGATACGATAATACGATACAATAATATTTTATTGGTCAGATCAAGTCTGAAATTTGACTTGCGTCACAGCAGCTCCATGTCCAACATCAACCGACAAAGTATTCAGACACAATACATGAAAACACAAACAACAAACATTTAACATAACAGCACAATCAGTGAGAGAAAACAAAGAACCTTCAGCGTGCATTTGATCTGGGATTTAGCTCTGTGTTTACTGTGAGGATTGACTGATGCACGAAGGAGTGCTTCAGTCTGACCTTATTGAATGGTGGGACCCTGTATCTCCGATTAGATGGTAGCAGTTCATATTCACTGTTCAGAACGTGGTTTGGGTCAGAGATGATGTTGTTGGACAGCCTCAATAGGTTGTTATGATCTGAATGAATACCTAACAGACTAGAACGCAGACATACTGAGTCTTTAAACTCTAAACCTAAAATACTAGATATACTCTAAATAAATGTAAATTATTAGACCTTTAAAAATGTGTTTACATTTCACTAAAATTGTATAGTCACAAAAACAGTATTAGCATTTAGTTATTGAACGTTTTAAGATTTGCTTTGTAAGGTAACCCTGAGGGATATGCACATTCCTGTTTGGATATCTAAATGTATTCATGTGAAACTGATGAAGTGTATTTCTTTCTCTTTGCTCTCTTTGTTCATACCAGCCAAGGAAAATGTCATTTGGTAACTTTGGCAGTCTGAGGAAGAAAAAGCACGAAGAGAACGAGGAGTACGTGTGTCCGATGGATGTGGAGATGCCAAAGGGACGAAGCTTTCAGAAAGGCTATGAGCTCCAAATCTACGAGGACGACCTCGACAGACTAGAACAGGTGAGCTTGTTCTTCTGTCTGTTTACTGATGATTGTATTCCCTTAATAATGTAGTGATCAGCTATCATAATCACAGCTGTCAACACTTTATTCAAGTTTCATAAAGCTAATGCCTAATTTCCCAAAAATCCCAACATTCAAACAAATGGCCCGGTCAAAACTTCTTAAGCCACTTCCTTTATTGATCTTCTGCCTCCCTTGTTGATAAATGTGTTATGTACAACTTGCATGGGTAAGTATTTCAGACCTCAGAGAAATAAGGCATTCAACTAGGTGATCAGTTTGAACCTGCTTAAATATGAAACTAACTTGCTACAAACTATAGGAAATGCTGTAATATTTTCATCCCTAATTATTATTCATGCTCAGATTTTCAGGGGTTGTCTTTTATACAATTCATATAATGTTTGGGATGTTATCAATTTAAATAAGATATTTACTACGTAGAAGTTTTGAGGTCTCGGTTTATTGAGTTTGGCGGTTTCTTGTTTCACAGATGGAGGACTCTGAGGGAACTGTGAGACAGATCGGAGCTTTCTCTGAGGGTATTCAAAACCTGACGGTAAGAATTTCCTCATGGCCCAGGACCAATGGCACATTGTACTCACTGATACCATTGTTTTACAAGCTAAATATTGTATTCTCTGTAATGTCCCCTTATCCAGAGCATGCTAAAAGACGATGAATTCTTCAAAGAGGCTTCCAATTCACCGAACCCCAGCGTAACAGACGAGGACTCCATGGCGTGAGGCAGTCGGCACCCCGAGCTCTGGTCCTGCTGAGAATGAAACTCTGGGCCTACCCCTCCCCACTACTCAAAGACTTGGCTCAACAAACCCCAAGATTGCTCCAACATTTCATTTTAGTGTTACATTCAAAGATGAGCCAAAAGTATTACAGTGTCTCCTCCTTTTCAGTTTCAAACGACGGTTTTGTGGCAGCCTACAGTCCTTTCACTCCTGAACTCTGTCTCCGTCAGAGGGAACATTTAGGGCATCACCACTGCCTGCCAGCTGGTTTCTGGAGATATTTTCTACTCAGTTGTGTACTGGCACTGTTTATATTTATGATAGAAGTGTCAACCAGCAGGATAAAAGACATCTTAAATATGCCAATATAGATTTTAATATATGTCTTGTAATCTGCCTCCTGAAGTGATGTGCTGAGACGATTTTACTCATGTTTAGAAGGTGGTGTAAAGTAATAACTCTAAAACAGCTGCTATGTTTTATTCAGAACTAAACCCTGCTATTTATGTGGGAATGTTCACATATGTTATCCTACGTTGAGCATTTTACAGGTTTTCACTCCAAAGTAATATTCTAAATCTATTTGCAGTACAAAGGCTGTACTTTACAGTAACATTGCATGGTAATAACATTCAACACATTTATGTAAGAGCTTTTTGTTTTTTTAATTTGTTTTTTTACCATAAATTGATTTAAATGGAACCCTGTTTGTTGACAGTTATTTTCAGAAAAGTTGATTTGGATGTCCTTTTTATTTCAGATAATGTTTTAATGCAACCCTCGACCATCCACGAGAAGTTGTGTATATAGTTTTTTTTTTTTTACGTTCATCCATTTCTAAGATCAATAAAATAATTTCAATCGGTTTGGATTTTGTTTTAACAAACAAGAGATTATGGGAAAGCTGATTTCACTGCTAAATGATTAAAAAAACATGACTGTTTAAAGGCTTTTTATCAACGGCTCTCTTTGTGTGTATTTAAATTATATCTCAACTTTGATCATGCTGACTGATTTTTTTATCGACCTGCAACACAAGAATATTTGAGAGACCAGGAAGAAAAGTTAAGCACCACAGCCAACAGGTAACAGCAATTATTATTTAAGATTTGAAAAATACCAGATTGAAAGAGTGCCATACTCCATAATTAAATGTTAGCATGAGTATCAGTACTTAAACCATTATTACATTGAATAACAAGCAAAGTCCTTCTCAGTCTGCTCCATGTTTAATTATACTGCCCTTAAAGAAATATGTATAAGTGGAGATGAAGACCTTCACATCGTCAATGAAATAGTGAAGTGTGTACAGCAGAGATGAAAGAGTAGATCTACTTGAGGGTTGTTGTGATGAGGTGCTGATCTGGAAGTAGAACTATCTGCTTATATCTTATTTGCATCGGTTTATTTTTAGAAGGCCTGGGGCCTACAACTAATTATAAATAGAAGCCCGTCTCAACATCCACTACACTTCACATTAACTTCAGAGATTTCCGCCCCGATCCTTGCTCCTATGGTCCTTTGAACATTTAGTAAATTTTCTGTTATGAAAGAAAAACAATTGCTACACGGATTATATCTGACATTGAATGGCATGGCTTTGTCCCTATATTGTAATTCTAAATTGAAATGGTGCCCACTTTCTTCACCTATAATTTATTTGGTGACAAACATTCACAGATTTTTGAAAATAATACATTTTGAGTACTGACCTTGACACGCTAACACATTTACTCATTTAATTTAATTTTGGAAACATGGATATATATACATTTTAAAGAACAGCACATTTGGTATAAGTGCATCAGATCAATAAAACAGGTTGCCCTCTGGTGGCTGTATAATAAAACTCCTGTGAACATCTGGAGGAGTTTGTTCCGAAGTGCCCATGCGCAATCAGTGGACACGGTGCCTCCCATGGATGTATAATAATGTGCCTCCCCTTCAGGATGTGTTGAGGGTTGAGACAGGACTGAAGCAGAAGAGTCTGAACTTTACTGCAGCTCGAGCTGAAGGAGTGAACCGAGAAAAAAGCATCATGGCTGCAAGGTTTGTTTTTCATTTTATGTCCAAACACTAATCTGAAAATTAATTGTAACCCTGTAGAATTTCAGTTATTCTTCATTGTTGCACTTTTTGTCTTTTATGACTGAACAACAACAGATCAGAAACATGTTTTTCTTTAATGTTAGACAATAAACTAGATTCAGAGTAAGAGTTTGGTTTTATTTCTGATAATGTATTTACTATTTAGGATGAATGTTTTGGGTTTCTGATGTTCAGGTTATGTGGAGTCCTTGCCCTTCTTGCTGTGTTTCTCAGTGGACTGGATGCATCAAGGTACAGTAGTCAATTTGAGAATTCTCATGCTTTATGTGTTTTTTGAGATGCTACATATTTTTTCCTTCTCAAATTATTGCAACAGACCAGCTATAAACCAGGAACTATCCAATATCTTCAATGAGCTGTGGACTTTGGATGTGAATCGCATGACCCCTGCCACAGACTACACAATCTCTGTTCAGGTATGAAACATGTTCTTATTCAGGCAAAGACTGAATTCTGTTTTTACAAAGATATATTTTGTGTTCAAACTGTCCAGGGTAGAGCCAATTATGTAACTCAGGGAAGCCATGTTGTGACGGACCGAGCCTCACAGCCTCTCTTCTCCAACGTTAATGAGATCAAGCTGCAGAACATCACAACCTTCACCCGTAAATCCCTCTGCAACACACAGGATAATTCCCTCTCATTCTGGGCATATACATGCAGCTCATTGCAGATCTGACTATGATAAATGTGATGTATGTTCCCTGCAGGCCTCATGAAACTCCTGGACAACTATGAGCGGTCCACAGGCGTGGCTGAGCGAGTCACAACAGTGGAGCTGACTGAGATGAATCTCTTCCTGGATGCCGTCCTAGATACTGAAGTCATGAAGGTATTAAGACGTGTTGCAACCAGTTTATTTAGTAAGCCATGTTTCAACAGGGCTGTTTCCAGAGGTGTAATATAGTCAGGAGCATCCACTCAATTACTTAAGGCCCTTTCGTACAATTTGCAGGTACGTATTTTCATTTAATGCAATGCTACTTTATACTACTACATTTAAAGAGCCAATACAAGACAACTAATAATAAACATTGACATGATATCTCGCAGAACTACTGTATACAACACAATCGAAGTTAGTGCCACTTTTACCAGCTGTGTTGGACACATTAATGAATCAATAATAATATAATTTGGTACTCTATTTGGTACTTGATGATTTGGAACATTCAGTTCCTTTTTGATGCCAATTATTTGCGTACTTTTGATAGAGTAAAGTATCTTCCACCATTGGCTGTTTCTATTGCACAACACCTCATCTGTGTTTGTTTTGAGCCAAGATGTCTTTCCAGAGTAGAACGATCGTGAATATAACGAATGTTCACTCTTTTTTGCTCCCTTAATGACTGTTTCTAGTGTGTTGTTTTCCAAAAGTTTTTTGTGGGGGGGGGGGGGGTTTCCAGCCTCAATGCAGCACTGGACACATTAGTTCAGGATGTTAGAGAGAGAAAAATATCAGAAACATCTGTGCAGCTGAGGAATGCTGTGTTGGCCTCAGAGGGTCTGAGAAGGAGATTAGTGGAAACAATGAAGACATGCAGTAGTTTTTCTGTTTCAGAGAAATCCATGTTTGTTAGATGGACCTGATGACGGGATCAGGATTTAAGTCTATATGCAGATTACAATAACACTTTTTTTTACGTTGCTTTTTTAATTGTTTATTACGCTTTTTCACATACACAGTACAAACAGTTTGCAGCTAAATACTTATTTACTATCTCTTTTGACTTTGTACAGTACAGGTTTAATCAAAGAGGGAAACATTTAACAAAGTGTAATACAAACCGCAAAAATAAAAAGTTACCAAAGAGCATATTTTAAGAAAAGGCAGAGTGCTTACAGTAAAAATAAATAAGTAGATATTGAAGTAAAATGTAAACTCTAGTAGCTAAGTGCTGTTTGTATAAGTGTATTACGTATTGTTTCTAAATCTTGTTTCAATATACATGTACTTCAAACTACTTTTTCAGTGGGTTCCAGCAAATGTTTATATTGCACACACAGAATATAATTTTCAAGAAGTATTGAAGTTTATTCAACATTTATTATACTTTTAAAACAGATAAAGATGCCTCTGGTTTAACAAGATATTATCGAAAAGTCTGAAAACATACATTTTTGTACCTGTTATTCAAAGATTGATGTTAAAAAAGCATATTATGGAGTAATAAATAATTTTATTTGGGAACAAATCTCTCAATGCAACTTGTTTTTTAGCCTGTCTCTCCCATTTAGTTTATTTGATCTATCTGTATTGTCAGAAAGTATTTTACCTGAGATGTTTATGTCATGATTGGGATTTGTCCACAGCGAGCCCATCGGTACCTGGTGAGCAAAGGACAGTCCAACTCCAACCTGAGGATCTTTAAAAATCAGCTTCGCTTGATCTGGTTCAACCTCTACCACAGAAAGAGAAACTCAGCGTGAGTTGCACAAACATCAGCAGATGATAACCTCAATTTGTTGAATTTATTATAAATATAAATATTTAGTGTAAAAGTGATGTCAAATGTATCTTCTGTTCTGTGTCTCTATTTCAAAACATTCACCAGCCTGGATTCCTGTGGATTCGAGCATGTGTTTGTTGGAGAGACAAAATCTGGATCAGAAATCATTGGTTTCCACAACTGGGTCCAGTTCTACCTGCAAGAAAAAAGCACACACTTGGACTACAAAGGATACAAGGCCAGGGATCATGACTTAGTGAGTGCAGCGGTTCATCAGACAAAAGAGATGCATTTATTTCTGTAGCAACATTTCCTGTTGTCTCTTTTTTATTCCTATAAGGTTCAATGAATTGCCATTGTACAACATGCGGTTGCAAAACGAAATGCAGTTGCTACATACAAACAAAACAAAAAAGAAACTCCCCCAGAGCCTCCGTGGATTAAACTGTTCAATAACCTGAAAATAAGAAGTAACCTTGCTGACTTTGGTCAGACTGACTGTCTGACCAAATTTGGAAAATGTCCCAAATTGGGATCAATAAAGTACTTCTTATCTTATCTTAAATCATACTCAACACATTAGAAAGAAACTCAAGTTCTAAAATTCTAAAAGCTCTTCACAAATTGAGCTAATTTAGGGTTTGTGTGTATCTTTCCACAGCCCGATCATGATGACCACGTCCTGAACCTCCAGTTCAGCTGGCACGGTCTGGTGAAGCCTGTCGGCAGCGCCTTCATCGGGACCAGTCCTGAGTTTGAGATGGCGCTCTTCACCATCGTCTTCCTCTTGAACACAGAGCGGAGCACCACAGTGCTGGTCAACGTCGACCAGTGTCAGATGGAGCTGGTGGTCATCCGACACGGACGCTCCCTCGGGACGGCATACCCCAAACTGCTGAGCAGCAACAGCAGACATGTCAGCCATCACTAAACTGAAGGAGAGGGTCTTCTGTTATAAAGTGAAGCCCACATTCTTATTATGAGAGCTGCATAAACTACATGGCAATTTTTGTTGGTTACATAATCCATTACATCATAAAAATGTAATCTTATCTGATTACTTTTGAATAATTCTAAAATCAAACATTGAAAATATGCCACTTTATATTAAAAATGTAAGTTTCACTGATATTATTTTTCTAAACATATCAAAAACATTTTACATTTTCAATGCATTTACATTTGTTTTCATCTAATTACTCTAACAGGTGTGTTTTCTACACCATGTGGGATGCACTTTAATGAGTCAATAACATTGATTATTGTGAACAAAAGTTTCATATTTTTTAAACTGCCATTTTATAAAGATTCAATCAAAAATGTAACTAAGATTGACAGTGCATCTATAATCTGCACATGTTTTCATATCAATCTCAGTTGATTAAAGTTATGTTACTTACATGATCAAGAGTCTGTGTTTTGGTTAAAACACCTACTGACCTACTGACTACAGTGCATGACATATATCTGTAAATGCCTGTCATTTCTTTGACACACATTTGTAAACTTTTTAAAGTCAAACATGTGGTGTGTTTATAAAATTTCATCAGCCAATAAAATGCCATATAACCCTTTAAATGCATCAAGATCTCTTTATTATCAAGTACATACATAGGTATGAGGGAGTGAAATAATTATTAAAATCATTTTTCTTCAATAAAAAAACCCAACTCAAAATTGTTTTACATTATTCATGCATTAACATTTAAGTAGTATTGTAAAGTTGCAGCTGTTCTACAGTACACATGTAGAAGACGTTCTGAAAAGGCACCAGACTTCTGGTTGTTTTGAATAGATTGTTATTGGTACTGTATCTTGGTATTCATTTTGGGTCGTTTTACTGGGTTTGTGGTAATTAGGCGTCTCTTTGTGAGCGTTTTCTTTCTAAGGTTGCACCGACCACTGTGCCTATCATAGTGTTCAGAAATTCATCTATTTGACATCACGACATCACATAAAACATTGTTTTTTTAAGAGTTTTCAGCACCGTACGAAAAGCGGAACACTTCTTTTGTTCCGTGTGTACGCACATTTTACACTGTAACACACGAGAGGGTTGCATGCTGGTGCGACTTCCGACGCCGTATCAACAGTGACAGAATGAGCAGAGTTTTATTTGTTTACTGTTGAACAGTAGAAACAACCATGGAGGTGCTTGGGGGGGAGTTTGGTGACATGACTCCTCAGGAGCTGGCGGCTCCTGTCGACACCATAGAGGTGAGTTTAGAGGAAATAAATACTAAAGTTTCACACCACGAGTAGAGAGAGGCTAACATGGAGGCTAGCAGCACAGAGAAGCAAAACAAACAGCTCCTGGAGGCTTTATGGTCTGAACCTCGCACAATGTGTCACTTTGGTGTCACATTTATTAACATGTTGTCGTAGGTTACAATTTGGAGCCTTAAATTAAAGTTGCAAAATAAGAAAAGTTGAAGCAAATTGCTCTCACTACCTGTAAAGAAGTGCAATTAAACCTGATATGTATTGAATTTCTTTCTTTTTTCAGGAAAAATGGAAACTGTTACCAGCTTTTCTAAAGGTAACAGCTCACACCTTCGAACTGCTGTGTTTCACAAATATTTACTTTTATTTCCTATAAATCCTCACATAATGAAATAAGCTTTTATATTGGGACCCCCCTCAACACACAATAGCAATTTAACTGAACATGTAACGGTTAAACTGATTATGGATACAAATAATTAGAGAAACTCATTTTTTTCATTGAATTAAATACTTGACAATTCAAGGAACCTAATAATGTTGATGCAAAAATGAACTAAACTGTGATATTGCCATAAAATAACATTTGCTGTCTGCCTTACAACAACGTAATGAACACGGGACAATTACCACAAGTGCAAACGTTTCACACGCATGTGGGTCTGGATTTATGTTGATACTGTTCAGCAATAGACCTCATTTCCATTTAAATGTTATTCTATTTTTTTTCCTTTAACTCTAACTTAATTTTGCTCCTATTTTTCTTTTGACTGACTTATCATTCTTATTGTTTCACCACTACAAACACGACAAAATGTATGCATTTCACTTTGCACTATGTTTGACCTGTAATCTGTTTCCCAGGTGAAAGGACTTGTGAAGCAGCACATCGACTCATTCAACTATTTCATAAATGTGGAGGTAAAACAAAACCCCAACATCAGTGTACGTCACAGCTCCGGTTTTATTTAAATATAAATTGTTTATATATTTTTTTTGTTTTCCAGATAAAGAAAATTATGAAAGCAAACGAGAAGATCACAAGTGATGCTGATCCCATGTGGTACCTCAAGTGAGTCGTCTCTAAACCATCATTGTTTGACAGTAATCTAATAATGATACACACATGTGGCATCTTTTAGACTAATTTATAAGTTAAATGTATTTCAATGTTTTACTTCCAGATACCTCAATATCTATGTTGGCATGCCTGATGTTGAAGAAAGCTTCAACGTTACCAGACCAGTATCTCCTCACGAGGTGAGCTTTGCTTTTTATTATTAAAGTAAATATCATAATTAATGGTTGACTATAACGTTTTTGCAGCTGTAGCTCAACATTTTTTTTATTAGAGACAATTTATCACTTGAAAGAAAATGTATCCTGAACTATTTAAAATACAAGTCAAAAAGTGCCAAATATTTGTTAACTGCAGCTCAAATAATAACACAATTTATATATAAAAAAAAAAAAAGGTAATATATTGACATATATTTTGGTGTCCTACAACCATAGTCCTACAACGATACCCTAAAAAATACTTGAGGGTGGGAATTTGATTTCTTTCTTTATTTCATTCAACATGTATTATTATTTACTGTGTGTATGTAAATGTGTTGGACAATTGCAGGACTAGCCCTCACTCCATATTTGTTTTATTTCTGACTCAGATGATAAACCAGGCCTGTCATAAAAAGGACTAGTACCAATGAATGGAGCAAGTTTCATGTATGTGACCCTTTTATTCTGTAAGATAGCAAGGGGGTGCATATTGTGATAAGCAGGCCTGTCATAAAATGCACCCCCCTAAAAAAGATGGTTCTCTTATTCCCACCCTCAAGCATTTTTTAGGGTATGGTTGTAGGACTAGTACCAATGAATGGAGCAAGTTTCATGAATGTGAGATTTTTATTTTGTAAGATAGCAAGGGATGCATAACGTGGCAAAAATATGCTGACAAAGACTATGTAACATTTGTAAACATATATTTTGTTTATTATATGACAAATATGCAAGACAATAAATGGCAAAGATATGTAGAAAATAAACCCATTTAAAGGTCCCATGTCATGGCCATTTCCACTGATCATAATTCCATTGTTGAGGTCTACTAGAATAGATTTATATTGTGCAATTTTCCAAACTCACATTGGTTTCTCATACAGCATCTCTGTAAACGACGTGTATTCACTGAATTTCACTCTCTGCCTTTAACGGCTCGTTGTAGCTCCAATAGCTCCAGCCCCCACCCTCCCTGTGAGCACAGTGTGCTCTGATTGGTCGGAACGTTGTGAATCGCGCTAAGCTCCGTGGAGGTGTTGTTTCCTTGTTTAGCGATAACACAGCCAAACTCATCCTGAGCACACACAAAGTCACAGCCGAAGTAAAAACAATAAGTGTGGCTTGATATTGAGTAAGAAAAAGGTTGATAAACGCTGTGAGAATGGGTCTGCAGAGAGAATTTCACCGCGATCCCAACTGTCTGTTATCAGCCTGCAGCCA